GAAGAGCTTTGGTGAAATGGTATCATCCTGCTGAACTGCTCTCTTGACAGGGATGATCACTTCCTTGTAGAATGGTGAGATCCTGGTGGTGAATAGAGTTCTCAGAGGATCCTCATTCATTCAGTCACTTATCAGGTATAAAGGTTGAAAATGATAAATATGAAGTAATGAAAGCATTTTTCCCCCATTTAAAACTTCTTTCTTTTGAACTTTAAAAATATGAGAGGGACCAGAGTGATGGGACAGCAGGGAGGAAATTTGCCTTTCATGCAGCCGACCTGGGTTTGATTACCGGCATACCATGTGGTTCCTCGAGCACTGGGTGTGACCCAGAAAGCAATACATATATATATTAGAATTTCATTGTTTGAGATATAATTGGAATACTAATTTCAGGTATACAACATAATGACTAATACACTCACATATTGCTAAGAAATTACCACAATAAATATAGTTAGTATCTTTTAGTTTCTTGGATCAGAGTAATGGTGAATTAGTGAATCTGAATTTAGAAATTAAGATTAGCAATGTGTTCCTTCACAACCATGCTTCGAAGGTGTCTAAGGTGTCTAATTTTTCAATATTTTCCCAGCTCTGTGATGGGAATACTTTTTACAATTTATCGTGTACTTAGTTTAATTGACAACTATTTAAATAATTATTTTTATATTTTAAAATGTTTCACTGCATAAGCATCACAAATTTTGTGAGATGTTTTACAAATAAGTGGGTTCCAATTATTATACGAAGCTTTTTTTGTTTTTGTAATTGTTCTGTTATTACTTAAAAATAGGTTGTGACAATTATTTAGAGGCTATAATTATTTGTAAAATACTGCTTATTTTTTAAAGAAGAGATTGTGTCTTATTTTGGTTAAATGCACGTATTTTATTTTTTCTCTATCAGATACTATGAACCTGGTATGTGCTTATTAGCAGCAAAATACAAGGAAATGTAAACAACCCAAGAGTCCTTCTCAATGAATCACAAAATGCTAAATTAAGTAGTCAGAGTTGGTCAGTGGTTAAGGAAGCTCCAAAATTAGGCCAGCAGCATTAATACTCCATATTTCCTTGCAAGTTTATTTTTCACTTAGAATTGCCACCACGTAGAATTGCTTGATGATCAATATTTATATGGGTCATTGGTAAAATGAGGTTTCCTAAGGACACAGCCTCTATATTATGAAATTTAGAGACCACTAATGATGTTACCAGTGGCTCCCCAGTTTGCAAAAGAGACATTTAGTTTTACTTCTTTCAATGTAATGAGGTTATTTGGTCACAATAGTGTAAGTGCTTGGAACTAAAAAATTACTGTATCTGGGGGCTGGAGCAATAGCACAGCAGGTAGGGCGTGGCCAACCTGGGTTCAATTCCTAGCATCCCATATGGTCCCCCGAGCACCGCCAGTATTTTCTGAGTGCATGAGCCAGGAGTAACCACTGTGCATCGCCAGGTGTGACTCAAAAAGTCAAGAAAAAAATAGTTACTGTATCTCCATCAAAAAAAAAAGTTTAAGAAGAGAACTCCCAGAATGACCACGAACTGGGAGCTCTTTGGCACTATTGTGGCAACATGGGAAGATGCCATTGTGACAACATTGACGAGGAATACGATCGACTGGTTCAGCACCTCCATGATTGTGCGAGGAACGCCAAGAGAGAGATAGCCACAAAAAAAGCCTATCTTTGAAAACTCTTGAGCTTATTCACCAACGTGGTTTGGCGCATGCCTCAGGAAACTGCCAGCAAATGTCCGACCTCGCAAAGCAGTGCAGAGATGTGATCAAGGAAGACCTCAAAGAGAGAAGAGCAGAATTGCTGGTAGGTATGGCAGAAGCCGGGAAAAGTATTCATAATGCCCGCCTGTCCTTTGCCAACTACAGGACCAAGATGACTGCCCTCCATTGTCCTGATGGATCTATCACATCTTCCAGAAGGGCAATGGAGAAGATTATTCATGACTTCTACTCAGATCTCTTCGATAGCCATGTCCACGTGTCGACATACCAAATTCCACAGGATGGATATGTCGTTCCCAATAGTCTCCCTTCCGAAATCCGACATGCCATTTCATCAGTAAAGAAATGAACAGCACCCAGCCCAGACAAGGTCAGACCTGAACACCTGAAGAACCTGCCGTCAGTACTCATCAATACACTGGCTTGGCTCTTCACACGCTACCTGTCTGAATGCAAGGTTTTGTCCCAATGGAAAACAAGCAGGTCTGTACTACTGTACAAGAAGGGAGACATCCATGACATTGGCAACTATCGCCCAATCTGCCTATTGTCTGTCATCTACAAGTTGTTCACTCGAGTCATCCTGAATAGGATTGGCAGAACACTAGATGAAGGACAACCATGCGAGCAAGCCAGGTTCCGCAAAGGATTCAGTACCATCGACCATATCCACACGATAACCAAGCTCATTGAGGTTTCTCGGAAATTCAAGATGCCGCTCTGTCTAATGTTCATTGATTTAAAGAAAGCCTTTGATTCTGTTGAGAAGGAAGAGGTCTTTGAAACCCTAGCCAATCAGGGCATTCAAACTCAATACATCAGGATCCTCTGTGAGCTGTATTACGGATTCACTACCAGGATCTCACCATTCTACAAAGAAGTAATTATTGATGTCAAGAGAGGGGTTCAGCAGGGTGATACCATTTCACCGAAACTCTTCAGTGCCACCCTCGAGAACATCATGCGATGACTGGAATGGGAAGGAATGGGAGTGAAGATAGATGGTCGGCAACTTCACTTCCGGCTTTGTTGATGACATTGTTTTAATAACACCAAACATTAGCCAAGCGGCACAAATGCTGGCCGACTTTGACCGTGAGTGTGGAAAGGTCGGACTACAGCTGAATCTCATGAAGACAATGTTTATGAGAAACAGCCTCGTTCGTGACGCCCCATTTGCTCTCAATGGAACGACCATCTCCGAATGCAACAGCTATGTGTACCTAGGTCGAGAAGTCAACATGACAAATGGCCTGGCACCCGAGCTGCGCAGGAGGAAGAGAGAGACTTGGAACGCCTTCAAGAGTGTCGAAGAAATAGCTAAGAGGACGAAGAACCTCTGGCTCTGGGCACATCTCTTTGATCCCACTGTTCTACCTGCATTAACATACTCCTCAGAGACCTGGGCCCTGTGCAAACAGGATGAGAACACTATTCGGGTCTCCCAAAGAGGAATTGAAAGAGCTATGCTTGGAATATCGCGTTTCACTCCAATGAGAGAAAGAATCTGGGAAGCAGTATCCCTCCCCCCCCCACACACCCCCCCATATCACCCTGCCTCTGTGACAGGGTATTCCCTTTTGTTCTCTCTCTCTTATTGGGTGTTGTGGTTTGCAAAAGAGGCAATGGGTGAGGCAATCATGTTTGGTCTACAGTCTACTTTCAGCATGCTTCTCCCATCCTGGGAGAATCCTCCCAACACCTTTATTTGGTGTTCCCTTCTCTATCTGAGCTCCCTTTTCCCCTAGCATGTGTGGTTGGCCTCCAAGCCATGGAGTAAAATTCCTGGTACTAATCTCGGCCACTCTTGGGTGTTAGCCTCCTATTTTGTTACTTTATGTTCCCCAGATGAATGCAATCTTTCTATGTCTATCCCTTTCTTTCTGAGTCCTTTTGCTTAACATGACACTTTCCATGTAGTACCACTTGTATGTAAATTTTGTGACTTCATCTTTTCTAACAGCTACATAGTACTCCATTGTGTAAATGTACCAAATAGGCACTGGTGGAGGGATGGGTATTTGATCATTGTATAGCTGAAACCCAAGCACAAAAATGTCTAAGTCTGTAACTGTACCTCATGATGTCTCACTATTAAAAATTAAAAAAAAATAAAAAAATAAAAAAAAAATAATAAATAAAATAAAAACAAAATAAAAACTAGCAATCCTGACTAAGGAGATGACTCAAAAAAAAATCAGGGACGCTGTCTTGTTTGCCTAGGCATCAAAAATCAGGTGGGTTTGTCACGTAATGAGATTTAGAGACAACCGCTGGACTAGAGCTGTTACCGACTGGATTCCACAGGATGTCAAAAGACCGTGTGACTGCCCACCTACCAGATGGTCAGACTTCTTCATCAAGATCAAGAACGATCAGTTTGAGGCTCTTCGTGTTCCTAGAAAGAACAGACACCATTGGGCTACACTAGCATGTGACAGGGACAAATGGAGGTGTTACTGGCGCCCACTTGAGCAAATTGATGATTAACGGGAAGCCAAGTGATCAAGTATCTCCATCATCACCAAAGTGTCAAAAACCTAGTCATTTCTTCTTGTGGGGAGAAGGGCTCACAGTGATGATCAGGAGGCGCAGTAGTACTTCACTGTGATTCTCAGCCACTAGGCAAGCTTTTATTCATTGAAGTGTTAGCACCTGAGAATGCTGAGCTGCTCTGATACAGTAGTGCCCTGACTAAGGTCGGCCATGTGCAAATTCTATGCTTAGTCCTTGTGATAACTCTCTGGCCCCACTAACAGGAGTAATGACATCAGACTTCCCTAGTATTTCATCTTCTCCTGATATTCCCCCTCTATTCTTCGTTAACGAGTCTTCACAAATTTAGGTTTTCCCCCTTCCAAATAGTACTTTTGCAATTTTTACAACAAATTATATTTCTTCATTGAAATTATTAATGTGTTGAAAGCTTTGCTGGTTCTTATTTTAGTCTGGGTGTATAATTTAAGTTCAGTCATACACCCAAAGACTTAACTGTATATTCTAAAATGAATAAATCTGAATTATTGCTATTCATAAAGAAAATGCTCATGGTATAGTAAATGCTGGGATTCTTCTGAATAATGTTTCTGAAAGACAGGCAGGCAAAACAACTATCTGTGCTCAGGGCTATTGCATCTGACATGGCACTGCAGAATGTTCATTTTTTTATTGAACTAATATGATTCATAAATCCCTATATATTTCAGGGAAAGAGTTTTGTTTGGGGGTAAAAGCAGCAGCATTCACTCTTCCATGTACTCTTTTAGGCTTGATGCATTGCTTTTAGAGGCTAACACAGAGGTTAAAGTAAGTCTCCATAAAACCCAGAGTAGGTTGTAAAATTCCTGTGAGCCTGTCTGGAGTCACAGTGAGAAAAGAGAAAAAACTAAAACAATAACAACAACCACAAAAAAACAAAAGCAGCCATGTTCTAGGTTCAGATCAGAGGTCTAAGAAGAAACCAGTGCTGTGAAGAACTTTTTGCAAAAGAGTGTTCTAGGCAGAAGCAGTAAATCTGAGGTGGAAAAAAGAAAATGTAAGAGAGGTGTAAATAGCCTATGTACACAAACATGATAAACAACAGAGACTGTTTTTTTGGTCTACTCCTGATGCTCCTGTCTTACTCCTGGCTCTGCATTCAGGGCATACTCCTGACAGGCTCCAGAGACCATATGGGGTGCTGGGATAGACCCAGGTTGGCGGTATGAATGGCAAATGCTTGACTCACTGTACTATCTCTCCAGCCCCTGTATCAGATATAGTTTTTGTTTTTTTGCATTGTCTATGTACTTCCATTGGAAACTCACCTCCCTCTCCAGCACCATGAATGAGTTTTGTTTTGCTTAAGCTGGTCAGCTTATTCCATTTCTCCCTAGATCATCTCAGTTCATAACTGGGCTAAGAGATTCAATTAGGGCAAATCATGGGGAATTCTGCTCCTTCTTTGAGGCACGAACAAGAAACTATGTTATCGTGATTGTATCCTCTAACACCTTGTTTGCCACTATTGAAAGATATTTAATACTGAATGGCAGAAGATAGCAGAAAATGGAATTTTGTTAACCTTTTTTGAGATGCTTTGTTTCATTTTCCTTATGTGAGTCAATTTTTATTAATTATCTTATTACTAGTTCTCACTCTCAGAGAACCCGGCAGGCTACTAATTCTTCCCACATATATTCCTGACTGGGAACACCTGTAAAGGTGATTAGAGGCTGCCCCAAAAGCCTCCATCCCTTTTGGAGAGCCCAGCAAGCTACCAAGAGTATCCCATCCGCACGGCAGAGCCTGGCAAGCTACGCATGGCATACTCGATATACCAAAAACAGTAACAATGATGGTCCTCATTCCCCTGACCCTGAAAGAGTCCCCAATATGCCAATGGGCTACACTAGCACGTGACAGGAATGAATGGAGATGTTACTGGCGCCCGCTCAAGCAAATCAGTGAACAATGGGGTGATAGTGATGTGAGTCAATATCTCTTATTATTCAATCCAACTGGACTTGAGTTTTCTTATTTCAGAATGGAGATCGCAATCTACTGGGAAGCATTAAGTAGTTTTCTGCCAGTAAGTGACTTGCCTCGATTCAATTTTTTAAAAGGTATTCTATGTTAAGTAATAAGATTTATTGACTTACATAAGTAAAAACCAGAGCAAAAAGGATAGCTAAAAGGCAGTTGTAGAAGTTGAAGAAGCCCATATAAAAGGTTATTAGCCTTGGAATTGTACTGGAGATAGAGAAAAATCATATCATGGGAAGAAATATATTTTGGTGTACAATGAATAGAATGTATAACTGTGGTAAATTACAAATAAGAATAATCATGATGAGGCTGGAGCAATAGCACAGCCAGTAGGGTGTTTGCCTTGCACGTGGCCAACCCAGGTTTGATTCCCAGCATCCCATATGTTCCCCTGAGCACCGCCAGGGGTAATTCCTGAGTGCAGAGCCAGGAGTATCCCTGGTGCATCAGGTGTGACCCAAAAAGCAAAAAAAAAAAAAAAATAATAATAATAATAATAATTATGACTTTCCTAAAACCATGGGGATGTGTAGCTTGAAAAGCTCAGATGGTACTTCTTACTGAAATGAAGAACCAGATTAATGGGGAATGGGGTAGAAAATAAATATTTCGGTGTTGGTTTTGTTAAAATATTATTTTCCTTGATAAGAATGTTACCTGTATAATTGCATATGGAACCCTGACATTTGATGGTTAAATTAGAACTGGAAATAAAACTTTTAGTCATTGTCAAATCAGTGGATATCAAATAAATGGAAATAGATGAAGTAACATTTGGAGAAATTATAGATTAAAAACAAAGGAGGGCCCAATATGGAGCCTTCTTGCATTCAAAGCTTAGAGAATAGTAAAGAGCATGGGGGAATATTAAAGAAGACTGATCACACAGGTGAAAATCTGAAATATGTAGAGTTAAAAATAACAAAAAAAGGGAGGATAATTCAAAATAATCTCAACTCTGTGGAATTCTGAGTAGTAGAGGGAGAGAGAGTGAGTGTGTAATGTTGATTTGTTTGGGCATCTTGGAAATCAGAAATACTAGAAAATTCTTTATAACCAAATAACTTATTTTAATTTGTTTGCAGTGCCAAATATAAAATTTGGTGCCTCACAGATGCAAGGCAAGGATTTTACCACATTCTCAGGCAGAATATGTATTTTTATAATTTTACTGAGGATGATTGTAAATAATCTACCATGATTTACAATAACTGCAAATGATGGTATCATGCATACATCATTTCAACACCACATCCAGATCTAGAGTGCCCATGCCCACGTTCCACCATCAGTGTCCTAAGGACCTCTCCTATCTAAACCCCCCACAACCCTATTTTCAAAAAGAAAACTGTGTTCTAATATCTATGCTTTGAGGATAATATTTCATGGATTCGTTATTGTGATTAATCACAAGCAGACTTTTTGATCAAAGCAATGATTCTAACTCAAATAACTCAGAGCCCTATAAAACTTTATCCAATAGTTTTAACAAATGAATCTCATTTTTAGTTGCACTTCTCAAAGAACATTCAAGTCATAACTTAGAATTCCTCTTTTATTGTTTTGTTTTTCATTTAGTTCTCATACTTGTAGCTAAGAGAAAAAAGGAGGGGGTGAGTAGGAGTAAGTGTATGTTCATAGGATATTTCCAAATCTCTCATGGGTATCCATTCTTAGCATTCTTTTATTCTACTGTCCCCATTGTATCACCACACTTTTTCTCCCATCAAATTCTGAGATTTTTGGTGCCTTTGGATGATTGTGAGACCTAAATATTCTATTTCTCTGATTTTCCCTCTGGGTGAAACACAAGAAGCCCCTTGGAAATTCTATCTCACTAATTACATTTCTAATTGTTTCTTTTAAATTATTTTTATATTAGCGAATCACTGTGAGGTACAGTTACAGGCTTACAAACTTTCGTGCTTGCGTTTCAATTATACAATGATCGAGTACCCATCCCTCCACCAGTGCCCTCTAATTAGTTTATTTTTTGGGAGTGGGGTGTGCATGAGAGGTTCTTGCATCACATCCAAGTGTTGCTCAGGATATACTCCTGGCTGTGTGTTTAGAGATCATTCATGGTCGGGCTCAGTGACCATATAGGATGCTGGGTATTGAGCCTGGATTGGGTGCATGCAAGGCAAGTGCCCTGACCAGTGTTCTAGCTCTCCTGACCTCTGATTGTATTTTCTATGATTACAAAGATTAATACAATTATCCTCTGATCTTTGGGGGCAAGTGGAAGTATGGAGATGGAACCCAGGGTCTCATACATGTCATATGTTCTATAGCAAGCCAAATATAAAGTTCTAAATTATCTTCTTTTTTAATTTTAATTTCCCAGTCATATTGGATATGAAGTTTTATGGGGCTATTTTGCCTTTCTTGACCAGTAACATTTAAACAATTTCTCCCATTATTCTTAAGGGTCAAAATATCACTTATTTAAAATGTAGGAGTACTGCTATTTATTCAGCCACTGATTAGCTGATTGAATTGTGCATGAACTCCACCTTACTTTTTAAAATTTTTTATAATTTTATTTATTGAATCACCGTGAGAGCAGTTACAAAACTTTCGAGTCTAAGTCTTGGTCATACAATGAAACACCCATACCTTCACCAGTGCCCATTCTCCACTCCCAACAACCCAGTATACCCCCATCCCACACCCTCCCCCTACCTGTGGGGCAGATGATTTCCACATTACTCTCTCTTTACTTTGATCACATTCAATATTTTGACACCAGACCCAGCATTATTATTTGAGACTTTACCCCAACACTCAGATCTGCTGAAAAGGCAACAGTAGACAATTTGTGTTCTATTGCTGGTTATGAATAACATATGATGTCGTGTGGCTGCAGTAGAACCATGTGATTTTGAAATTCCGAAATTTTAACACTTAAATCTAGAGGGATTTCTGCCAAAAGCCACTGGGTTTCAAGATTTGCTCCTGAGTCTCTGGGATCATGGCCGTTGAGCAGCTTGATCAGGAGCCAGTGAGGCTGTTTGTGGGTGATGACTTGGGGTCTCGTTGGGACAGTCATTGGGACGGGGAGACCAGGACCGGCTCCACCCTCATCCTGTGAGGCCCAGTAAGTTTCGTCACTGCGGGCCCAGACCTGACTGTCCAATGGCCTTTGGAGGATGATGGCCACCGAGCCGCCAAGGGGGAGCAGGTGGAGGGACAACAGCTTTTCCCCCCTGGGATGACCCGGCGACAGTAACCTACTGCATGGTCTGGATGCGTTTCTGCCAAAAGCTACTGGGTTTCGAGATTTGTTTCTGAGTCTCTGGGATCATGGCAGTTAAGCAGCTTGATCAGGAGCCAGAGAAGCCGTTTGTGGGCGATGACTTGGGGTCTTGTTGGGGTGGGGAGGACAGGCCCGACTCCCTCTCTTCCCCCATCCCATGAGGCCCAACAACTTTCGTCACTGCGGGCCCAAGCCTGACTGTCCAATGGCCTCTGGAGGATGATGGCCACCGAGCCACCAAGGAGGAGCAGGCGGAGTGACAACACCCTTTTCTCCCTGGTGTGGCCTGCTGACAGTATCATATTGTAGGGTCCAGATGCATTTCTGCCAAAAGCAGGTTTGTTTCTGAGTCTCTGGGATCATGGCATTAAGCAGCCTGATCAGGAGCCAGAGAGGCCCTTTGTTGGCGATGACTTGGGGTCTCGTTGGGGTGGGGATGACAGGACCGGCTCCACTCCCATCCCGTGGGTCCCTGCGTGTCTTGTCACTGGGGGGCCCAAACCTGACTGTCCAGTGGTCTCTGAAGGATGGCGTCCACTGGGCCACCAAGGGGAACAGACCAAGGCATGAAACCTATTCCCACC